AACAGGAAAAGTAACTTTCGTTATCATGGAATTATAACAAAACCTGCCAATTCAATATAAATGGAAGCAAAATATTATATGGAATTGAACGAAAATGAAAATTTGCTTGATAATTCAACTACGCTTGTTGGAGAATAATAAAAACACTACACTCAACAAGCCACCAATAAAACTCAACTGCCTAACCTATAACCAAAGTCTCCTTTTAATTTGTTTTTAAAAAAAAAGCGCTTGACAAACTTGCCCCGCATGCCGAAGTTGCCCCGGTCTCCCCTATATAAAACAATAACAAATGACAATAAAAAATAGCTGCTAAAAATGCATGTAGAAAGAAGAAATGCAAGATGTAGACAATTATTGACAAGAAACTGGGACACTTTGTTACTCTAATAACAACAAATGCACAAAACAAAATTTTGGCAGAATTTTTCTGCTGGCTTTTGTCTGATACAATGATGAGCTGGAAGTAATGTGTGTATTGCAATAGAATGTTCAATATCTGAACATATAATGTTAGTGTTGGAATCTTGGAATTTTATGCTGTTGTATTGTATAAGGTTAATTAAATTTCAAAATAGAAATATTAATAAATAATAATGAAATATTAAATTTTTTTTTCTTTAAAAATAAATTTAATTATGATTTTTAACTGATTTAATTCAATACAGAATTAATGTTGGAGGAAAAGTATTAACTAATCATTTGAAAGNTTTTTTTTCTTTAAAAATAAATTTAATTATGATTTTTAACTGATTTAATTCAATACAGAATTAATGTTGGAGGAAAAGTATTAACTAATCATTTGAAAGACATCATATCCTATAGACAACTGCATGTCATGGATGAAACATATGTAATGAATCAAGTAAAGGAAGATGTTTGTTACATTTCTAGTGATTTTTGGAAAGATATGGAATTAGCTAAGTATGTTTCAGTTTATTTGTATTTTAATTGTTTATTATTAAGAATTGCTATTTTATTCAAAATATCATTTTTTAAATCTGTTTTAAAACATTAACTGAATGTTGTAATATCAAAATATGGAATACTGCATGGCATTCCATATAGCTAATACTAGCTGATGAGCCCAGAAGCGCCAAAAGGTTCAAAGTTACTTGTACCTGTTTGCTAACTGAGAAAATTATGACATAAATCATTCAGATCCGCAATTGGTTTCCGATCCACAGCCGGTTCCTTTACCTTAGTGTCCTAATATCGAAGTGGAAATGTCTCGCCGATTAGCCGTTATAACGTACTAACGGAAAGGGCACTTACTGTCTTTTACACCCGAAGTTTTCTTCTTCGGTTCTTGTTGATTTTCGAGTAACGAATAACGGGCGATTGGTCGTTTACTCTATAACAAAGGAAAATTCCAGATTAACGCTTAAAATGAAACATTAGAAAGTTTTATTGTCGAAAGTTAGTGGCGCAAATTATCGACCATTTTTTAAGACTGTATTTTCGATCGTTCCTAACGGAAATACGCCGCGTTATCACTGTTTAACGGAGGATTCCTTGCAGTTTCGTACCGACCGTAAAATGCGTTCCATGAGGGACATTCTAGCCCATCCTCTCCGATGTGTCGGATGTGAGGTTTTCCACGGCGGTTTCGGCGCACCTCCACAATTCTGGCATTGCAATCCGAAGTAGCGCGAGATAAACGTCGTTATCCCACTCAACTTATCGTTGCTGACACTTCTTCGATTGACTTTTGTTTTACATCGATAATTGGCCAATTGTTTTGTTTAAAAAGTTTTTCTACTTTTTTAATTCCCTTTTCTACTTTCTTAGAGTCAGAGTATACATTATTATTTTCGTTGTTAATTGAAGTAAGTCTATTTTTGCGTATTTCCACCAGCCTACTTGCATCTACTGTTAGCCCTATTGTCAGCTTGTTCTCTAACTTTGTTAAAGTCAACATAAAAAGGTACCTCACTAACAAAGGGAATATTTGCAACCCTATAGCCCCGATAAGCTAAATACATACTGGTGGGAGATTTTGATGTACGCGAAACTCCAATCAAGATTATGTCTGCCTTGTCAGTATCTTGAATATTTTGTCCGTCATCATGATTAATAGTATAGTAACTATAGTTTATTGCCTCAATGCGCTGAAAATACTAATTATTTATCTCAGTATGCAAGTCAAGCTTTTCGTCTTTTTCAATTTCAAGATAGGAAGAAATTTAATGCTCTCACTGGTTATCAGCGCTCAGTTTCATCTCTTTAGTGTGGAATAACAGCATTGCTAGCGTTCTGGCCCACGTAGCTGCTCCTGCGGGAACAGTCTTTTCTGCAGTATGCTTAATCACAGGTAGCATAGCGGGAAAAAATCGGGCGCGACCGGGTTCCGCCACCCGGCGGGCGTCTAGGTAGGACCCTTTCAAACGTGCAGTAGATAGGGGGAGTTTTTTATTACCGTCGTCGGGATACTTTAAGTCGTCCGATTTCATTTTTAAAGTTGTATTTTGTATTTATTTAAATGTAGGAAGAAGCAGAATAACCCGATAGTCAGAGATTACGTACTTCCCGATTATACCGTTATTAAAAGAGGTTACGTACGATCTCCCGAAGAGAGCAGCAAATCCAAAGAAATGGAACAGGTAATAAGCACCTTTTAAAATGTTTTAAACTACCGTTACTTCTTTCTCCTTCTTCCGGCCTTGGACGGCAGAACCTTCCTCTTGGTTAACCGGACCGGACGCATTGGATTTATTCGGATTTCGCGGTGGCCAACTAAGCCCTGCCGGCATCGTGGCTATCTGGCTTTTGTTTTCGGAGTCCGTTGGTTTCGATGGACTTTGCGGACTTTTAACTAATTAGATACATGAATATCGAGAACAAATGTTGAAAGCTTAGGGGCAGAAGGCCTAGATTATACAGGAACTTCAGGTTTAGAAAAGATGTCACGTTATTAGGATTCAAAATTTTCCCCGAACGAAGATAGATAACTGGCACCACTATTGCTAACATGAATAGTATGGTATATAGAGGCAAAACAATGACTCAAAAAATTGAGAATATTGACGAAAAGTTGCAGTCCGGCATTGTGACGATGTCACAATAAATAATCCCTCCTTAGAATTAGTTTGGTTTATTTGGTTACTGCAACATGACACGTGAATGGTGTACCGGGGAGATGCAGGAAAACTGTTATGGGAAGCTGGACCCTATTTAGGTGAAGAAAGCCCGGAAAACTATGTGGCCAGCCCGTTGGCCATGCCCCAACCCACTACTAACTAACTATCGGAGTTCGGTGGTTTTTATGCACTCGGCTATTGGAGGACACTTATTAGAATTAATTAAGAAAGTACCGTTCATAAATGAAAAAAACCCGAGTCGTTAGATGTGGAAAATTAAATACTTAGATTTTTCACAGGGTAACATTTTCGATCTCACGCAGAGAAGTGATTTTTTTTTTATAACACTCCGCCTTGTGGGCACTAAGAGGCATGTACATGTATTAGACATACTGTACAGACATAAAATGTCTGTACAGTATGTTTAATACATGTACAATGATGTCTAATACATGTCTAATAACATGTATTAGACATCAAGTAACATAATGTGCCATCATTAAACAAAATTTATACGGTTTGTTATACGCTACTTTAACATAACTGTTATCGTGTAATTTCATCAGTTTAATCCAAAAATAAACTATTACTTTTTATTCCAGAAACACGTAAGCTATTTTTTGCATTAATTTTAGTTCCTTTGGTTATATGTACTAAATTGCGCGTTATTTGTCGAATTTTAAGTTTCTCCCTGCAATTTTTCTCCAAACGCCCACAAAAGATACAGAATTTTCCGAATGGAACTATTTAAACCACATTTGGCACGTTTGAAAGTTTAGGAGCATCATCTCCAGACACATTACAATGTTTTTTAACTGTGTGGATTTTACTGTTTACAATTTTCGAAATTGTTAAAGTATTATATGCCCGAGATGTTTTTTATCCGAAGACATTACAACTTGATTTTATTCAAACAAAATGTGAAATATAGGGGAGTAAAATCTGAAGGAAAGAATAAAAACTCGCAGTATTCGTACGTTAAATTTCACAACTGTTATAATTAAATCGCGCATCTATGTCGACGGTGTGCGATCGATACATGCAATTTTCGTTTTATTATACGGTATTTTATGTATTCGTGTTTTAATTTCTTGTGCTGCAATTTGAAAAAAACTGTAGACCTATTAATTTCTGCCGTCGTCCGTCCGTCTTTCCTTAATCTCGAGAACGGAATTAGACGAATCCGAAACCAGATATGGAAATATTAGGGCAGGAGGCCCCGATTAACCATATGCGTACTTCCGATGCAAATATGTAAACCGGAAGTCACGTTCTTTTAATCGAAAATTTCCCTCGAAAGCAACCAATAGATGACCGGCACGACTTTATTGTCAAAAGAAAAGTATGAGATAGAGGTTAAGACACTACTAATTTCGGACGAAGAACATATATTTTAAATAAAATTAAAAATACGATTAAAAATTGCAACCCGGCAAATTGCTGGTTGTTAGGGCATTTAACTGTGTTATTTTGACGTTATATTATGTATATTTGATGTTTAAGTTTATAGAAATGGGTATCGGTCGGGATCCGGAAACAGATTAATTAATTATTGTCTTTTCGTTACTCGTAATGGGAAAAAATTGATGTGGAGTTCGAACGACCTGGAGTGAATTTAATTGGAAGTATGAGGCATCACCGTAAAGGCTTTAATTAAACTGGCTCCATATTTATTCGAACGTGGAAACTGAAATTTTATCCACTTGTAATTGGGACGGAAGGCGAAACGTTCGGAATATATTTAACTCTGACGAAGATGCATTTGAACGACGTTTTAGGGTCGGCCCCGTCTGCGCCGTCCCCCACTCCGGGAGGAGAAACGACCAAAAATTTTATCGACGGCCACTCCCGGATTAACCACCCTGGCAATTGGCAAAAGTTTTATCGGCACGGAACGAGAGTGACCGACAGCTTGGGAACAGTCCGCAAAAAGAAGGAAAACGTTACCGGGTCCGACACCGTCGATAAACAAAAGGGAAGTTGCCGGAGAAATTCGGCGGTAAAAGCCACGCGGTTCTTTCGGTTCCAGTCGGTACAAAAATGCGTTTGGCTAACGGATGTGACGGCTGTAAAAAAAGGCCGGTTGACTCCCGCACTCGGGACGTCGTACTCGACCGGCGCCAAGAATCTACCTTCCGGGTTGGCTTTTTCGTAGTCTCATTCCGACAGTCGGTGGATATTTATTACGCTAAGCCTCGGCATTGATCGTACTTGCAAATTAGTAGTTGGTGGTTCTCCCTTTATTNATTTCGCGGTGGCCAACTAAGCCCTGCCGGCATCGTGGCTATCTGGCTTTTGTTTTCGGAGTCCGTTGGTTTCGATGGACTTTGCGGACTTTTTAACTAATTAGATACATGAATATCGAGAACAAGTGTTGAAAGCTTAGGGGCAGGAGGCCTAGATTATACAGGAACTTCAGGTTTAGAAAAGATGTCACGTTATTACGATTCAAAATTTTCCCCGAACGAAGATAGATAACTGGCACCCACCACTATCGCTAACAGGAAAAGTATGGTATACAGAGGCAAAACGACGACTCAAAAAATTGAGAATATTGACGAAAAGTTGCAGTCCGGCATTGTGACGATGTCACAATAAATAATCGCTCCTTAGAATTAGTTTGGTTTATTTGGTTACTGCAACATGACACGTGAATGGTGTACCGGGGAGATGCAGGAAAACTGTTATGGAAAGCTGGACCCTATTTAGGTGAAGAAAGCCCGGAAAACTATGTGGCCAGCCCGTTGGCCATGCCCCAACCCACTACTAACTAACTATCGGAGTTCGGTGGTTTTTATGCACTCGGCTATTGGAGGACACTTATTAGAATTAATTAAGAAAGTACCGTTCATAAATGAAAAAAACCCGAGTCGTTAGATGTGGAAAATTAAATACTTAGATTTTTCACAGGGTAACATTTTCGATCTCACGCAGAGAAGTGATTTTTTTTTTATAACACTCCGCCTTGTGGGCACTAAGAGGCATGTACATGTATTAGACATACTGTACAGACATAAAATGTCTGTACAGTATGTTTAATACATGTACAATGATGTCTAATACATGTCTAATAACATGTATTAGACATCAAGTAACATAATGTGCCATCATTAAACAAAATTTATACGGTTTGTTATACGCTACTTTAACATAACTGTTATCGTGTAATTTCATCAGTTTAATCCAAAAATAAACTATTACTTTTTATTCCAGAAACACGTAAGCTATTTTCCGCATTAATTTTAGTTCCTTTGGTTATATGTACTAAATTGCGCGTTATTTGTCAAATTTTAAGTTTCTCCCTGCAATTTTTCTCCAAACGCCCACAAAAGATACAGAATTTTCCGAATGGAACTATTTAAACCACATTTGGCACGTTTGAAAGTTTAGGAGCATCATCTCCAGACACATTACAATGTTTTTTAACTGTGTGGATTTTACTGTTTACAATTTTCGAAATTGTTAAAGTATTATATGCCCGAGATGTTTTTTATCCGAAGACATTACAACTTGATTTTATTCAAACAAAATGTGAAATATAGGGGAGTAAAATCTGAAGGAAAGAATAAAAACTCGCAGTATTCGTACGTTAAATTTCACAACTGTTATAATTAAATCGCGCATCTATGTCGACGGTGTGCGATCGATACATGCAATTTTCGTTTTATTATACGGTATTTTATGTATTCGTGTTTTAATTTCTTGTGCTGCAATTTGAAAAAAACTGTAGACCTATTAATTTCTGCCGTCGTCCGTCCGTCTTTCCTTAATCTCGAGAACGGAATTAGACGAATCCGAAACCAGATATGGAAATATTAGGGCAGGAGGCCCCGATTAACCATATGCGTACTTCCGATGCAAATATGTAAACCGGAAGTCACGTTCTTTTAATCGAAAATTTCCCTCGAAAGCAACCAATAGATGACCGGCACGACTTTATTGTCAAAAGAAAAGTATGAGATAGAGGTTAAGACACTACTAATTTCGGACGAAGAACATATATTTTAAATAAAATTAAAAATACGATTAAAAATTGCAACCCGGCAAATTGCTGGTTGTTAGGGCATTTAACTGTGTTATTTTGACGTTATATTATGTATATTTGATGTTTAAGTTTATAGAAATGGGTATCGGTCGGGATCCGGAAACAGATTAATTAATTATTGTCTTTTCGTTACTCGTAATGGGAAAAAATTGATGTGGAGTTCGAACGACCTGGAGTGAATTTAATTGGAAGTATGAGGCATCACCGTAAAGGCTTTAATTAAACTGGCTCCATATTTATTCGAACGTGGAAACTGAAATTTTATCCACTTGTAATTGGGACGGAAGGCGAAACGTTCGGAATATATTTAAATCTGACGAAGATGCATTTGAACGACGTTTTAGGGTCGGCCCCGTCTGCGCCGTCCCCCACTCCGGGAGGAGAAACGACCAAAAATTTTATCGACGGCCACTCCCGGATTAACCACCCTGGCAATTGGCGAAAGTTTTATCGGCACGGAACGAGAGTGACCGACAGCTTGGGAACAGTCCGCAAAAAGAAGGAAAACGTTACCGGGTCCGACACCGTCGATAAACAAAAGGGAAGTTGCCGGAGAAATTCGGCGGTAAAAGCCACGCGGTTCTTTCGGTTCCAGTCGGTACAAAAATGCGTTTGGCTAACGGATGTGACGGCTGTAAAAAAAGGCCGGTTGACTCCCGGACTCGGGACGTCGTACTCGACCGGCGCCAAGAATCTACCTTCCGGGTTGGCTTTTTCGTAGTCTCATTCCGACAGTCGGTGGATATTTATTACGCTAAGCCTCGGCATTGATCGTACTTGCAAATTAGTAGTTGGTGGTTCTCCCTTTATTACCGTAAGATGAGGGATAAAAAAAAATACTGTATACTGCTTTAAAACTCCATCTTTTCCGGAAAGTCGACGAGTAAGGTGCAGGAAAGGGGAAGGGGCCACTAAAACCAAAATGCCAGTTTGTGCGAAACGTTGGGGTGTCACCGAAGGGTTTACGCGCTGTTCGGGCGTGAAAAAGGCCGACGGGACGGCCCGAACGGTACTTCCGAAAGGAGCCGAGGCATTTTGGAATAATAAGAGTAATTGGAATTGTGGAAGGAGATGATTAGGTATAACCGAGTGTCTTTGTCGTTTAGATCATTCGAATGAATAACGAACGTTTCATGGTGCCCGAAATCCTCTTCCACCCCTCCGACGTGGGCATCAAGGAAATGGGTATCAGCGAAGCCGTAGTCAACTCCATAGAAGCCATGCCCGAAGGTAATTATCGTTATTTGTCGATTTACGATCGGATTACCGCTTTTCCCCCAAAGATGTAAAGAAAAACCGGAATTCGTACTTAATTCCTTATCCGAAGCCCGAGATTCCGGAAGCGTCCGTCCCATACGGGTAGACCTACATAGAAAGGCGAGGACGTCACAAGGGAAAGTCTCACTGGTGCACGGTTCGGACCGCTAAGACGGTAGCGCGGAACGAAGTAGAAAGACTCGAGTGACCTGGGGTCGATTTTCCGGCCCGTAATTATCGGGATCGGGGAAAGCTACGTCGATACCGGAAAGATAACCGGGAACGGAAGAGGAGATTCCGAAAGTGTTTATTTTCAGAATTTATTTATTTACTCCTTTAGAATTGAAAAAATACAATTTTATCCGACTTAAAGAAAGAACTAATAATTAATAGCGCGTGGAATTTTCCCCGCTTTATATTACGGGTAGGACGAGAAGACGCGGATAAAGAGGTGGGAAAAGTTTTCCACCCACCGCTGGGCCAGAATGGCCGCATTACCGGACCGAAAGACCTCCCAAAGGGGGAAAAGTGTTTGGGTGGACAAAATGCGGAACGCGAGAGTTTTCCCGTCGCGTAGCGCATTCTTAACGCCTCCATCCGACGGCTGGCGCGCCGTACCTAGCATCTTTTCCTCGCCCGCGATTTCGGTTCCGTGAAAGGATAATTTGCGGCGCCCGTTTGGCTTTACTCGTTATCGGGAACGTTCTGGCTATAGTCCGAGAAGTCAATGCGGCCGAAAAGAAAATAAAAATCGGGCCTCCGACGGGGAAGGAGAAGGCGGTGGGATCCCCGCCCGACGTAACTACTTCCGGGGAAATACTTTTTTTCTTTCGGCTTCTTTTACGCCAAATGGTCGTCGGCTTCTTGCCGTGGCCGGACCAGTTTCTCTATTTACTTTCTATTTTTAGCCTGGGAATTTCGGCTTTAAATTTAATTCTCTCGATTCTTATTTTCGTCTTTTGACGGGAAACTGGCTCCGGCCGGGAGGTAGGCCACCACGCCCGCGTTTTCTCGTTTGGAATTCGCCGGAGTAACCGGACCGAGTCTTCTATTTTAGGAAGCGCCCACCGCCGGTAAAGGCGTTAATTCTGACGGTCCTTATTTACCAGCGCCGGAGTTTGACCCCGGGTGGCGCGGACACTATTATTTTCGGAATCCGCCAGGGAGGAGGCGGAGAATACTTCCGGCCGAACGGAGAGGTGCGGGACCTCCTCCCCCGCCGACGTCCTTTAACGGAGCGGACGTGCCTCCCGTTTCGGCCTCTAAAAATAGCGCCGGGCGGACGGTGTCGGGTTACGGGCCGAAAGAGGTCGGGCGAACGTCTTAAGACCTTTGTTTACGCCGGAGAAAGAGAGGGTCTTTTGGAACGGAAAGCGGTTTCGTAACCGGGTCCCGTTTTTACTTACGTCGGCCCGGCCGTTTCCCCACAAAAAGACTATTGTGACGCGAAGAAGACGGTACTTATACCGCCGCTTCGCTTATTTCGGGTGCCGTTAACCCAGTCGGTGGTAAGAAAAAATCGGTACGGCCAAAAGCCTAGTTTTACCTCCGACTTTTGACAGGAATTAAGGCTTGCCGCCGCGGAAAAGCGGTGGGAGGTCTTTTCCCCATTTCGGGAGATTTTTGCCGCCCGTGACGGAATTCCGGGGGCTACGGACGGAAAAAGGCGCCGGTCGGGGAAGGTCCGGTCGACTCGCCCCTTCCTTTTATTTCTTCGACCCGGAAACCGGAACCTTGGCGTATTTTGCGCGCGGCCGGAACCAAAAAGATCCCGGCAAAGGATGCTGGAAAGGGGTTACGCGTTATCGTCTGGGTGGAATAAACCATCCGATCGTGGCCTTCCTTCCGTCTTAAATGCTACGTCCCGTTAATGGCCTTCTTTCCATCCGCATCGATGGTGGTTAACGTCGTCCGCTTTACCTGCGTGAAAGAGACTGCCGCACCTTTTCGTTTCCGAAAAGAAGTGCGAACGACCTCGCCGGAAATCCATCCACGGGGCCGAATTTTGGTGGGGAAAGGAGGGGTCCTTCCCGCTTCCAATAGTAACTGCGGCAATTTTATTTCCAACTTACGGAAATGAAATCGACCGGCGCTACCGCCCGTTGTGGTCGTCGTCCGTTCGAGGAAGGGATGCTAAGTGTCTTCCTGGTTGACAGTTGTTTCTTTTATCGCAAGTGGGATTTGTATGGCCACTGCACGATGGAAACTTCCCGTCATCGGCGGTCTGAAAACTGTCGTTTTTCTTACGGAGGGCAACCGAAAAAGAAGTTTAGGCACCGGGCACCGCCGGGACTTTCCCGGCACCCGGTCGACTCTTATGCAGCAAAATCTAATAACGCGGATGTCTCGAATGTAAAAAGAAATGTGCCGCGTTTGAAAAGTTTCGGTCGGTCCCCGGATATAACGCAAAATTTTGTAAGGATTTGGCGGTCCGGTGGACGGACGAAAGATAAGACGTCGGGAAGAGGAAATTTGACCGACGACCGTTCTTATACCTTATAACAATCCGGAATGGAAATATTTATAAGTTGGGATTTTATTTTCTTGGTCTGGCCTACGTCGACTCGGTTACGCGCCACCCCGTATAGCCGTATGGGTTAGGGGTACCCTAGGGTTGGAGGGACGGAGAGGACTCCGCCGTCACCCGCGCGCCGCATTTCTAACGAACTGCGTAAGGACGGACGTTGGTCGGCGGGAGGAGAAAGAAGGTAGGCGACGGAAACTTAAAAATGCTTGCACGCTTAGCAAGCATACCATTGGACGGATATTATTTATTTATTTATTTGGTAATATATATAGGCTATATATAAATATGGTTAAGACTTACGAACTACGAGTTACGAGTTATTTCCGACTTAGGAAAAGGAAATGTTTCGAAACATATTACTGTTAATCGGGAGTGACGGCAGCCACTCTCCGCCGAGTAAAAAAAAGTCTACGACGGATTACATATACGGGAATTAGAGTCACCGATTTTCCGGGTCGATTTCTTCGCCCCAAACACCCGAAGTAATTCCGAATATTTCGTTCGAAAGACAATTGTTTTCTTAGGTAGCGTGCAAAATTTCAAGTTTTTCTATAAAGTGGTTGCCGAAATATAAGCTATCGAAAAGTGCAAAAATCGCCAAGAAAGCTGTCTTTTCTTCTTCTCCTCCTCCTCCTCTTTCTTCATCCGGCGCCGCACACCTCGTAGAGAAAAAAACTATCTTGTGTAGAAAGCTCAAATTTTAAACTTAGCCTTTCTAGAGTTATCCGTGTGGCGAAATTTCCCGGGGTTTTCCACACAGCTAATCGTTTACAGCTTTTACGTTTTAATTTTATGTTTATAAAGATAAAGTTGCAGGGAAACAAATAAATTTTATTCCAAATGTAACTCAGAATTAGAGAAACTCAAATTTATGCCAATTAAAACTTTTTTTTATATCGATTTTTCTAAACGGCATATCGAAAGCGTCCGTCGTCTAAATTTTCGTCAATTTTTACTTGGCGAAATTTTTTACATCTCGGATGTTTTTGTTCGGATTATATCAGAAACAGTTAATAAAGGGCATGAAAAGAAGCGTTTCCTTGAAAACCAATTCTTTCGAAGAATTTTTATACTTTTTTTGTTTGAATTTCTATCGTATTTAATGTATTCTTAATTGTAAGTAATTGTCGTCTTTATTTTAGTAGTGTTTTAGTTTAGGTATAAATATATTTGTTAATTTTGGGATAGATATCGACTTCCATTTATTTCCAAGGGGCCGTCCATAAATTACCTCCGCAATTTCCTGGAAACTCCATCCTTTTAAAACCTTTATCATTTTACGAATGATAGATACCGTAAGTAGAAACAAAATATATGCATACGATAAATTTACCAGGCAGGGAAACAATAGAAAAGAACGGTGTCTTTTATAATGAAAACGTAAAGCTTTGCATTTTCTCTGTTATTTTGTCGCCCGGTTACGGTAGCCCGGTCGACGGTGTCCCGGAGAAAGAACCCGGGCCATTTTTGGCTCGGACCACTGGAGGTAACCGGGATCCCGGCCCGCCGTGGGTGCCGAATTGACGGACGAGTTCTCCTGTTCGCGTTAACGGCGGTTTTCCTATCTTTCGGCGCTAATTCCGTCCGTGGGAATTCTTCCCCTCCGTAATTTCGTACGTTACGTCGGCAGAACGTCCGGAAGACGACGTCGCTCCTCCTCCTTGTAACCGTCCACCCTGGAAGCGCCGCATTCTTTGTTTCTCTCGGACGGAAAGGTCGTCCGGGTCCCGCGGCCCGAAGAAAGAAGGGCTTCTTAACCGGACGTGCGACGCCAGGCAAACGGAAGTGGATAGATTTCGTTTGTAAACGCGGACGGACCCGGTCCGTTGCGCTCGGCCGACCCGTGGCTTTGTTCCCGCCGTTTGTTTTTCCCCTTCCTTATTTGTTTTCTCCATTGTTTTCGTGGCTCGGAGGCCGGACCCGCGTATTTATCCACGCTCCGGCGCCCCGCGGTTCTTCCGTCGGAGGCCGATTCCCGCTTCTTCCCTTTCGTACTTCCCGCCCGCCCGTCTTCGAGACGGCCGAAGAATTTACGCCACCGCGACCAAGCGCGAAACGCCAGTTCCCCTCTCGGTAGGGTGCGAATTACCTTTCTTTCACTGGCAGAGTCGACGGACGAAAGTCCCCGTTTCATTGCCGCTAATTAAAACGTTACCGTCGGCGGCCGAGTCCCCGGTGGCGCACCCCTGGTTTAATAATAATAATAATAAAAATAAAAATCCCGTGGGTTATTATTGCGTTAACCGGAGGTATTGTTTTGCGCGCCGGAAATGGCTGGTCTGCCTTCTCCTACCTTACTAAAGGAGATTGGGCCTCGGCCCCGGGGTGCGTCTAAATTCCGAAGTGCCCCCGGTTTCTTTCCCGTTCCGGAAAGGGAAAGCCGGAACACGGCTCCGCGTCGGAATTTCGCCGACCCAGTTTTTCGTCCCTTCCGGCGGGCGAAAAGGAAATCGGAGCCCGCCGGGATCTGACGTAAAGAGACTTTTTTCAGAGATGCGCCCCCACTTGTACAACAACGTGGTTCTGACCGGAGGGAACTGCTGCTTTCCCGGATTCCGAGACCGAGTGTGAGTATTTTCCGGCTTCTCCTTCCAATTTTCTCCGTCACTCTACTCGCCAACGCTTTCTATTTTCAGATTCGACGACGTCCGTTCGCTGGCGCCCGATCTCTACCCCGTCCGAGTCTCTCTTCCCGACAAGTAAGTGAAAACCACGAAATTACACAAATTTCGCCCCGCCGCCTCCGACTCTTCCCGCCCCCAAACACTTCCGGTGGCGGAAGTTCCCGGGAACTTTTTTCCACGGGCGGGCGGAGGGAAGAGAGGGAGGAGGAAGGGACCGACGGAGTTTTTTTTTTTCGGTAGCCCAGTGACCAACTCGTGGAGGGGAGGATGCGTCCTGTCGGAAGATGCCGAGTTTTCCAAGTTGATCGTCTCCAAGAAGCAGTACGAAGAGAACGGCGTCTCCTTCTGTCTGGAGAAGTTCAACGTGTGATTTTAATAAAGCGCGTGGGTGAAACACTGGAAGTAGTCTTCTTTCTTTCGTCCGCGAGGGCCAATGGCGCCGGGCGGGATGGCGGAAGCGGGAGCGGCCCTCTGGCCGGAGACCCGCGGCGGCGCGGTGGTTCCGGCACAAGGCTTCCGCCATGAAGACGGTAAGGAAGGGAGGACGCGGAGAAGGGGAAGGGAGGGCGGCCGCGGCCGGCGCCCGCCTGCGTGCGGAACGGCAGTTCCGCCGGAGGCGAGGCGGGATCGACCGCCCGGGGGAGAGCGGCGCGGTACTCAGTCCCGCTTTGTGGATTCGCAGCCTTCGCACCGCCTGGCCAAGCCGTCCGACCGCATGCCCGACCTGACCGAGCGATCCGAGAGCGACGACGACGACGACCACCCGCAAGACGTCTCCGAAAAGGTCTTCCCCAGTCTTCCCGACTCCCTGCTGGACCGACTCTCCGCCGCCGACCCTTCCGCCAGGTGAGACTCCCCGCCCGGGACGGTCGGCAGTCCGGGCCAGGGTTCCGGAGGCGCCGGAACCCCTCCCCGGACCACCGGCCATTCCGCAAATTTAACGCCGTCGTCTTCGCAGCGGCCGTGACCGGGAGATCGAGGTAGGTAGCTTTTCCGGTTCCCCTTCTCGCTGCCCGCCTCCCCTCCGGCTCCGGACCCTCGGGTTTGGTACCGGAGCGGGGAAGGGAAGCGGGAGCGAGCGGGGCCAGAGACTCCGGGCTGGAACGATTCTCGTCTTCAGAGCGAATTCGTCACGCTATCGCTGGCCTTCAAGACCGACCGCTTCACCCTGCCCACCAAAGATAAAGTTGCAGGGAAACAAATAAATTTTATTCCAAATGTAACTCAGAATTAGAGAAACTCAAATTTATGCCAATTAAAACTTTTTTTTATATCGATTTTTCTAAACGGCATATCGAAAGCGTCCGTCGTCTAAATTTTCGTCAATTTTTACTTNGATTCTCGTCTTCAGAGCGAATTCGTCACGCTATCGCTGGCCTTCAAGACCGACCGCTTCACCCTGCCCACCCGTCTGGAGCTGTTGCAGAGACACCGGAACGCGGCCGAGGAGAACGCCGAGTCGGAGCTGCGAGAGGTGCGCTCCGCCCTGGAGGTGAGTGCGAGCGGGGAAGACGACTCCGTCCGCTGACCTCTGACCCACGGCTCTTTTTCAGACGCTGAATCGCTTCGTTCCCGACCCGGCTGCCCGGGAGCTGTTCGTCGACCTGCAGAAACACCTGGACGTCATTCGGCAGTGCGTCCGAAGAGTGGCCGGAAAGTCCGAGTTATACGGAGCCGTCCAACAGGTGGGTCCGGCGCCTCCCGTAAAAACTAAAACTTTCGTTCCGTTCGGACGCGTTAAGACGGGGGCGGGCACCTCATCGTTTACTCGTCCTCGGACTAAATATAGCGCTTAGAGGTAAACACCTCTTCTCGCGCTTCCTCTTCTCTCTGGTCCCTTGCCAATTCTTTCTTCGCGCCTTTTGAGTCCGACTGGCAATTGCCGCCCACGCTGCCCGGTCGCAATCTTTCCCCGAAATCGGAAGATTTTATTTTAGTTTTCGGCGGAAACGCCGCCTGGCGCCGTCCGACGTCGGCGTAGACGTTTTAGCATTCCGCTGAGCCGGGGAAAAGTCTCCGTTTAGTTTTCCGCCCGTCTTTCGCCAGACCTGGAACCGGAAGGTCCGTCTTTAGCGGAGGCGGTGGGTGAGACCGGTCAAATCGTCTTTTCCCGGAGAAGAAACTGACGAAGGAGACCTTCGACCCAGTAGTCGGTGCCTAAACCTATTCCGGAGCTTGCCAAGGCCGCGGCTTTAGTACCGGCGCGTAAAGACCGTAATTAATAAGTAGAAAGGGATAAAGAAGAATTAATACAGTTTGTTAGAGAATAGTATAACGCCGGCAGTGAGAATTACGGCCCCCGTCGAAAGAAGGATGCTGGGCCAAAGCTTCCTTAATTAAACATTGTATTTTCTATACTTTTATAACGTATATGCAGGGGACGAAATCTCCGCAGAAATGTTTTATCTTCTACCACTTTCGGTTTTCTACTTCTCTTTTCCGGGCGGAGAGACGGAGCCAAACTTTCTCTCTCTTATCCGTGTGGCCTGAACGGTTCGGACGTTTACCCGACGTTTTTTTTTAAGAAGAGGGAAGTGTCCCCGGGCCCTTTCCCGCCCTTTTTCGGTAACCGACCCGGCGTAAAGCCTCCACCTTTTAAATGGGCCTTAAAATTACCCACCTTTCCGGCGTGGTAATTTTAAGGCCCATTTAAAAGGGGCGGCTGCGGTTAACCAGATCGGATGACATTTTAGGTGCGCGGTTCCGATTTCCACCCGACGGAGCGGGAAGGCTAGAAAAGGGCCGGGCCTCCTCCACCCGTGGTGGTTTTTTTTTTGTTTTTTTTTTACTTGTGAGTCGGAGACGGATTCTTCTCCTTCGGTCGACGATTACCGGAGCGGGAAAGGTGCGGTTTCCGAAAAAGTCTATCGAGCGTCCGAAGCTCGGGTCTTTCCTTCCCGCGGATTTCCCGGGCGGTGGAAGACGAAGAAAGGATGAAAAGAGAGGAACGAGGGGCCCGAACGGTGGGTCGCGGTCCTTTTCCAACTGTACTTTACAAAAATGGAAGGCGGGCGAAATTTAAAAGCGGTCCGTTAAGCAACGTTTACGTTGGTGGATGGAAAGGGATAATTGTTTATTAAAATATTAAAGGTTAAGAAAATAAATAAGACTCGAAGCCTTAGTCAATTTAATGTTACGTAGTGACTCGTTTACCTTATGTGTGGTAAATCACACGAGTGCGATACTTTAAACGTCGTGGCCGGCGGGACGAAGGCAGCTAAGGCGTTTACGCGTCGGGCGGGTGGGCGGCCGACCTTCATACCCGTCGTAAGAACGGGCGGGTCGACGGGATCTTTAGATTTTCTGCGCCCTTCGATTACGTTTCAAATTGTAACTTGTTGTCAAAAAGTAAATAATCTAATTTACTGACGTCTCCGTAATTTNCCTGTTATGATTGTAAATTACGTCGTAAATGCCAGAATACCGAATATCTATCCACACCTTAAAGTGTTCGGCAAACCGCTTGACCACTTCAACACGTAACACGACCTTTGAACTTCCACCACCAATGCCGTTGTCGTTTACGCGTCGGGCGGGTGGGCGGCCGACCTTCATACCCGTCGTAAGAACGGGCGGGTCGACGGGATCTTTAGATTTTCTGCGCCCTTCGATTACGTTTCAAATTGTAACTTGTTGTCAAAAAGTAAATAATCTAATTTACTGACGTCTCCGTAATTTACACTTACCGGAAATACGGGACGGACCGAAAGTCGGTAAGAACGTCGAAAATGGTTTTAAAAACCCAAAAAGCGGGCCCGAAAGGCAAGTTTGCGCGCCGAGTACCAGGTACTCTGGGCAGGGGGATGCTTTTCCACTGGCAAACAACTGTAGTTTGAAAAATCGTCTACGGACTAGGCTCCAGTCCCTGGACGGGCGACGGAAACGACTACCGCCGTTATTACCGGTGCTGGGAGGGACGGAAGGGTGCCGTAGACGGTCCGGCGTGCAAGTGGAAATGCCAAAGGCGGCGGTTAAGTCTGTGGTAGGCAGGTTGTGTCCAGTAGGTGGGTTATTTTGTAAATGTAAGCGATGTTTCATTCTCCTTCCCGAAGAAAAGCGAAAGTATTTTTAACGGTTCAAATCTTTCGTTTAAAGAATTCCGAGCGGTGTGCAAAATAGCAGAAGATGAAACCGATTTTCAAACTTGTGTTCGGATCCCGGATAGTTTCGTCGGCACTTTCGTCTTCATCCATTTTCTTCCTAACTGGTCGAAGTATCGACCATGCGAGAAACGTTTTCTTCCTTATCTAATTCTTTCGTTCTGTACAAAACATTTTAAATTCGTCGTCGGTCCCGCAATTTTTTTAACACGGTTGTAAATTTTGTAATATCTCTGCCATTTTCGATACGGAATCCGTTTTCTACCATACTTACCGACCGCGTTGCAGTGGAAAATGGTCGTACCGGATCGGCACCCGGCGGATAATTTTATAAGACTTACTTTAACTGTTAAAAATTTATATTACGAATAATCTTAAAAAATGTTTTTAAACAATTGAAATAAACTAAAGTAGACATTAAATATCTATTGAATTTTTCTGATTCGTTCGGTGTTTTTTAATTTTTAAAAATATAAGTTTTTATTGTTTTCTTCAATAATTTCTCGGTGTTAATTTTAGTTCCGTGATGTTAATTACCGTGTATTTTTCTCGGCGGTACCGTTTTCTTCCAAACCGGTAGGAAGTTTTAGCTTTTCGGATTCCGTTATGCCGCCAGGATTGGTCGCTCCCTTTGCGCCCCGGTTGGAACGGACCCGTCCAACATAATAGCGGTATATAATTCGATTTCCGTAAGACTAGGCCACGCGGTAAACAGAAAGTTAATCCAGACGGGGCGGTACGTCTGGAATTTTTTAAATCGCCATCTATTGGTAAAACTGTGAAACGGCCGTCGGCACCCACGAAATACGTAAGAACGTCTAGACCCCAGCCAGCATTATTGTCAATTTCTTCCGCACCGCGGCGCATAGGCATCGTCGCTTTTTCGCCCGATCCCGAGAGTAAACTAGCGCCTCTCGTTCTTTATCCTACCGTTGACGTCGAGTCACTCGTTATACGTTAAATAAAACGGAACATAGCCAGTGTGGCTTAAATTATATTTGTACACAAAGTTTAAACGGTTGTATTAAGGCTGTAAGCACGTAAAAGACGATTACGGCAGTAGGGAAAATATTCAAGTATTTAGATGCAGGTTGTGTTTATCTACTTATCACGAAAAAGAAGTTTATTAATATGGATGTCCGCCGTATCGGAGAGAGAGTATACGTAGCATATATAATTAATTAAAATACGGAGTGTATATACAGTACATTATTTACCTTTTCGTCTGTAAGAATCTCGTTTTTATTGAATTGTGAATAGGAAACGGGCTGGACGGGATATTTTAAACGGCCGACAAAACGTAAATACTCGTACATTGATTAATTATTAATAAGTCAAAAAACGATAGAACTTGTTATGAACGGAAGGGTTGGACGTCGGTGGGTTTAGGCAGAGTTCGAATGTCCAGTCACCAAGGCGATTTCCTAGTCGCTTCCAGGGTTGGGAAATATGTTCGGTATTCTTGCATTTATAATGTCATTTATGATTTAAGCGAGTAATAAAAATCGATATAGAATTTGTCTGTAGTTATCGAGTAGGCGTAATTTTCGAAAATTTTTGCTTGCTTTCGATAAATCATTATAAAAAGAAGTACACCTAATTCACCGCAAACCTGTTATGATTGTAAATTACGTCGTAAATGCCAGAATACCGAATATCTATCCACACCTTAAAGTGTTCGGCAAACCGCTTGACCACTTCAACACACGTAACACGACCTTTGAACTTCCACCACCAATGCCGTTGTCGCACCGTTTAATTAAGCTTTTTTCGTTGCTACCGTAGTACGGTTTCCTTCGAACGAATGAACCACTTGGAAAAAGTTTACCGTTTCTCGATACCGTAAGCTTAATTCCAACAATAAGACAGAAGTTTCATAACATTAATACGTGTAACAATAAGTGATGATTGAAAACTTAAATTAACCAGATTAGTGTTTTCTAACATAAAGAGTATTGTTCGGCTCTTTACAACCTTCCTTTCTTCCATTACTATTTTTTAGTGGCTTTATTCGTATTTATATCGTATTTTTTATGGTGAAATCATCTATTTATAAGTAAGGTGTGCGTGTAAAAATTTATTTTTTTCATTTTTAGCTAATAGTAATTACGAATAAAGCATTTGTAATTTGTAATTATGACCAGAAAATACCACAAAAACGAATTCCCATCATTGGCGCCGTTTTCCTTAGCGGCATAAGTTAGAACTAATGCTCGCTCGAGTTCTAGACACTCGTGAAATTTTTTGGCCTCCGGTGTAAATCGCGCTTTACCGCCGAGGACGGTCGAGTTAGGTTGAATAGAATATAGCGGGCCGTCCGCCGACAGACTATTCCTCTCGGAAAGAACATGGACTGAAAACGAGCCGAAAGCCTGGTAGTCGCAACGGACGACGACGGTACGGCAAAATGACGTAACTTTTGCCGGGCGAAAAACGGAACGGTAAAAATTAGACAAGTCATAAGCGTCACGTGGACGATAGCATTCCAACTACGGCGGTCGGTGTGGCTAAAAAGCTTTATTTATAGTCTAATGCGTTAATATATATCATACGCTATATAAGTATTAGATTTAAGCCTTAATCATCACTCTGTCTAGCTTTTATGTGGTTGCATTACTTATTGACGTAAGCTACAACTCGGATTTTCTTTTAGACCTACGGCCAGGCAGCCTAAAAACTGCACACCAACATTTAACGTAAACGGAGTAGTATTACTCTTACGTATGCCGCTCAGAGTGATTCTCTTTTTTCTATCCCCTTTCCTTATTTTCTCCCCTTCCCCTTCTTTCTCCAGCTAAACACTTCGTGTACGGCCGTTGTCTTCTGTTGTTTATTATTTCTCTCCGATTTAAATATTAATAAAGTAATGGGAATGGCATCATCGCTCTTCGGGTACAGAAGTACTGTATTGGATATTCCCAACTTCTAATCATTTCGAAATATTTCTCTTATCCAAATTCTTGGCTTTTGTGCTTTTTTTATTTTTCCGGGAAGAATTGGATCTTCCCCACGGTAGACCTTTCTCAATGCCATTTTCCAGCCGCCTGCCTCCTAGTTGTTGCATTTTGTCATTTCCGGAGAATCCGGTAGACCCAGCCTTGGTCTTGCCATTTTTCGGGTTTCGAAGATTTTACTCTTCCCTTCCGTGGCGCATCGTCGGTTATTGCCTGGGATTTTTCGGTTGCATAAGGCCGCGGAGCCAACTTTTGTAAACTGTAGCTCGAGTGCGGTACTTTATTTATTTAAACTTTTGTTCACCGTGCAAACTTCTTCGTTCTCGTTACCGTTTATAACAACCGGCGGTGGGCTCTGCGGGAAAGGTATAATCTTTTCGCATATTGTTTAGGAAAGTTTCCGGTATTAATCGGTAAATACGTAACTTAAGTAAAGAGCCCGATAACTCCGTTCTATCCCGATTTGGCTTTATTAATCGATTTGTTCTGGCTAAATATTTTACCTGTTTTCTAGATAATCGACTAAAGGCGGTTTTGAATTTACGGATGGGGAATTTTTCGTAAATGTAGCAAAATTCTTCTGTATTTTTATATTCATTCGTCCCGTTAATAAAGCCGTTGTCGACTTTTTCTTTAAGTTTAGCCACGTCTTTTAACTTCCGTCTTTAAAAATAATTCTTCTTGGCCGTCCATCTTATCCGCTTTTCGCCTCTACCTTCGAAAGTATTTCTTGCGAAACCGACCGGAAACCGTGGAAAATAATCGTACTTCCGAGTTCCGGGAGAAACTCGCCTCTGCGGATTCGTCCGGTTAGAATTTTTCTGCTTTTCGCGGCGAAAGTAGCCCCTAAAGGAGGGAACGAAATAATTCTTAACTGCCGCCCGCTTGGCCACCTCTGTTTCGGTCCACCGGTTCTTTTGGTAAGTTAAATAACACCGATTCTAAATCCAAATGGAAAATGCACGTCTTTTTCATTTTGTAGAAAATTAAAATCGTCAAAAAGTAAAGAATAAAAAGAAAATAAATTTTATCGCATAGGATGGAGCGGGGAGGAGTTTACCGTGCCTTCTACACCCACGCTCGAATAGCGCGCTCGGAAATATCGATAGAAGCCACGACGTCGTCCCGTTTCGGAAACTTTTTTCGAAGTTGGCCGGGTAACGACTTTAATCGGTTCGTACTTAATGACTTTCCGCCGGCCACCCCCCATTCTATTCCGTTAGGCCGGACTTGGCACTCGACGGTTAAATTGTTCGATACCGGAGAACGTCCGAAGAAATCCCAGCCGAATTCCGCACGCTTGGCTAAAATCCCGGCCGTGGAGGTTTCCTACTTTTACCGACAGACGGCGTTTTAAAAGATGGCCGCCTTCACCTTTTTTTTTCGTTGGCTAAAACGTGGCTTTCCTCGGCCGTCGTCTTCGAATTCCAGACCGAGCCGCGGGAATGGGTAAAGCCACGTCTTATCAACTTTAAGAAAAATTTTTTAACGGGCGATTACTTAAAGGAATGTTTTGTTTTTTAAAAGAACGGTCGACCAGATTTTAATAACTTCACGTATTCCTCGTAGTAAACCTGACGGGATTATTAATTAATTAATTTAAATAACCCGAGTCTGTTGCCTATCTTTCTCCGCGGGGGGTAAAAGAGAGTTTTAAAAGAGATCCGACTTTGGCCAAAAAAATGCAATTGCCACATTCGATTCTAACCGCTTCCAAAACCAAACAAAACGATGCTTTGTCGGGCGTTGCCGTGGCTTACCCATTTAAAAATCATTGTCACGCTTCTTAACATTATTTTTACTGGGTTAAAGTTTCTACGTGATACTTCATTTTGTACAACGGTTAAATCTACTAATGAAATTTACTTGGGCCGACCATTCGCCGATTATGCGGTCGTCTTGGGGGAGAAAACATTTTTTTTTTCGTCCGTTTTATTTGTTCGTATAGAGAGTAGATTTTTCAATTTTTTTTCTATCGCAGATTTTCTTATTATTTCGTATTTTTTTGCATCTTGACTTGGCTGCAGTCACCGACTCCGGGGAGGGTTCTGATGAATATTCGTGCCTTTCTTACGTTTGGATAAGCTTTTTTTTTATTTTTGTTCTTGTTTTAGGTTTTTTCGCTAATTCTTAAACGCGATAATTATCCAGGAGGAATTTACTTTTCGGGCTTAAAGGAAAAACCCTTGTCCGGACAGTTCGATGACATTACCTTTAAAAAGTGCGTTATTTTCTAAAAACCAATTTTATTGCATTCCGACTTTTGGCCCGAGAGCCGTCTCTTTCGCTATGCTTTGGCTTTTAAATTCCGCTTCCGGCCGGCGCAATTTACACCTGCGTTCTTCGACCTTTCGACACCCGCCGACCGGCACGAGACTAAAGATAAATTTTCTTATACGCGCGTCACCGTGGTAACTACTATTTAAACAATGGCGGTAATGAAAAAAATTAAATAAAAGCCGTTTATGTTAAGTACGAGTTTAAAATGTTTTCTTAGAAAATTTCCCGAGGTCTAAGAAATTCTTCGCGGACCCGAGGTCGAAGAACTTCGATTACCCCATTTACAACGGTCTCTCCGAATTGGAGAGGATAAATTGCGGCTTCTCCGCTTCCGACGGTGCGTGGGCGTTAACGACGACCGGAAGTTCGAGTCCGGTCGGATTCCGGTTCCGGAGGAATACGGAATTTTTGCCAAAGAGTTTTAGCCCGTCGGTCTGTGACGTTTCAGGAGGATCGTCTGAGTCGAGCGGTGGAGGTGATGGTGCGACACGTGGAGAACCTCAGGAGACTGCGCGAGAGGGAACGAGGAGAACTGGAGGAGACGCGCCGTCTGTTGTTGGAGACGCGGCTGCTATCGGGAGGAAAGAGAGACGAGGCCGCTCTGCGTCGCTCCCCGCTGGTCGACTCCGGAGGAAGTCCCACTTCCGCTGCGGTGAGTGTTGGGACGGGCGGAGAGCGGCGGCGTCCGGCCCGTCTCGAACTCTGACCTTTCTTACAGGTGTCCAGGAGAAGAGCCAGCGTGGCCGGATACCAGCGACTGCCTCCCTTCGACCCCAAGATGGCAATCAACAGCTGGATCCTCCGACCCGCTTCCGGACGCCAGGTCAGTCAGTTTCTTTCCTCCTCTTCCCGGAGTAGGCAATTACTGCCGACTCCTTGGCCTGGGCCCGTTAAAACTGGGGGAGGCGGGAAAAGGTTTCCGAGTCCAAGCCCTTCCCGCCGCCCGGGGAAGGCCGTATCTCAATTTCCGGATATTTAAAGGACGCCATCCGCAGTCCGAACTACGGAAGGACTCGGCTGGGAGACGTCCTTCGGAGTTCGTCCCCCGAATGTAACCCCCACTTTTTCTTTACAGGATGTCGAACCCGCTCCTACTCCGGATCCCCCCGTCGTCCCGGTTCCGGGTCCGGAACAGGAAGAAGCCGTAGCAGAAGCTTCCGGCGTTCCGCCGCCTGAAAACGCCAACTCCGGGTAGAAGGAAAGTAGTCTTTTGGCCCAGGCCACAATAAAGAGGGTTTTTCCCCGTTACCGCCTCCTTTCTTTTTCTTCTGGCGCGTGCGAGAGTAGAAGACGCAGAGGCTTTGTCGGGACGACGTCTTTTATTCTTCCACATTCTAATCTACAGACGAAAAGCCGGCCGACGTCCGACGGGACCGCTTCTACCGGAAGCGCCGGACTACTTCGGAATTCTCCCGTCGACTACTTCCGGAAACGTAAGAAAAGTGCGGAGCGTAAAAAAGTGGGTGGATGGGTCGGAGGAAGAACGCGGCACCTGCGGCGGTCGGACCGGGCGAAGGGAGGGACCCGCCGTCCGTCAGGGAGCGCAGGGCGGCAGTTGGCAGTATCTTCTCTCCGTCTTGGGTCGGCAGACGGCGGCGCCCCCGCCCTCCGTGCCGCTCTCGGCGTTTCTGCTCCTCCTCTGGATGCCGCCGCGGCCGCAGGTCTTGGTGCAGCTGCTCCACTGCTCCCAGTTGCCGGATCCGCAGTCTGTTTCTGTAACGAAAGCCTCCTTCAGTCTGCCGCCACCTGAAAATTACCAAAATCGTATAACGCGCCGGCGTCCGTTTCCCATACCGCCAGAAGGACGTTTCCGCATCTGAGGGAGAGGCTCGCGACTAAAGGGGAGAAGATGGAAGTAGTATGGCCACCGGGCCCGGTGGTGGTCGTTCACGATTCTTGAGGGAAAAAAGACTCCTCCTCCGCTGTCGACCGAAGAAATTAAAGCCCGTTCTATACGTAACGTCTGGATGGACGTTTTACTCGAAATGAATGAAAACGGAAGGGCTAGAGCAATTTTGGATGGCGTTTGGAACGTTAGTACTTTATTTTGCTTGTAACATAAAACTTTTTGGTGGGGGTCGATGTGAGGTTTCGAGAACGTGTAGGGAGTCGACGATCAAAAAAGTTTGGCGACCCTTGGCCTAGAGCAGCGATTCCCAACCTGTGGTACGCGTACCCCTAGGGGTACGCGATAGGTTGTTTAGGGGTACAGAAAAAAGTTAGTTATTATGGCAGAAAAAATAATATATTATGTATCACAAACTAATAGTATTAAAAAATTATTAGATAAAAAATGTTCCTTGCAACAATCACAACTTTATTATACATTTTTTCTTTTAGTTTTTTTTTTCTTTAATTTAAAGTTACAATATGTAAAATTAACAATACGATTACTCACTAAATTTCTTAAATGAGGGGTACAATCTAGAGATATGACATGTCACGGGGTACGCTAATGAAAAAAGGTTGGGAACCACTGGCCTAGAGCATTGTTTTCCGTTAATCGTCGAGTATGTCTGGACGTATAGACGCACGTTCGTCTCTACTGATTCTGGGTCTTTCGTCCTTTCTCGACTCGTACCGAACGCAAATAATTGTTCTGTTTCGTTTTCTTCTCGACGGTTTTTTACACGGTGTGCGTGTCGGACTTAGGGCAATGGTCGCGTGAATTTTTTACCGAATTTGTCGAATTACATCGTAGTTGTCCTCGCCTATGGAAGGTAAAGTCAAGAGATTAAGGTAATGGAACCCAAAAGAATCGAGCGTACGTCGTTCTGGTAACTAACGGTAGTAATTTCAAATAAGCGTTTGTACCTGTTAGTAAATAATTTCGCCGATCTTCGGGTTCGTCCAGCAAATTCGCACGAACGAACTTCCGTTCTGGAGAAACCGTCTTCTATCGACGGCCCGGTGACCGATCGGTGGAGGAGGCGAACCCGGGATCGAATCCGGATGGTTTCAAAACTCCCCGGGAATTTTTCGGGTGGTTGTCCGTCTGGATACGTCACCGTTCGGCCGCCCCGTTGTGGGCCTAGTCCAATCTACAATAGGCTGGCTAAAAGAGACTCTCTTAGTGTTCAGGAGGCGGAAAGAGTTATAAAACAAACCCATCTTCCGTATCACCGTAAGCGACGAACAACTTCACTAGACAATGAAATAATGCATAAAGCGGCCCATGCTTCGTCCACGGTTTTGATGAAGACGAAAGCGATAAACGTAGGGTAAACATTGGTAATTTCGTGGTACTTTTTAAATTCGTCTTAGTCAAATAAGTAATGTAAGACTAGATTTGACAAAACGATCTCTATTGTAAGAAGAAACTTTGAAATTTGTACAAGTGTTTATCTTAAATTTACAAAGAAAAGATTGGTAAGTGAATTATTCTTTGATATTTCGATAAACTAAGAACTGGAGATATATTTTTTTATTGTATTGCGCGTATAAATTTCCTTAGCTATTTGGAAAACATTCTTAGCTTTCGCTGTGAAATTGTAGACATATCAAACACAAGAAATAATTAATAACTAATACTCAATAATTACTTTCGACGATAAATAATTATTGAGTATTAGTTATTAATTATTATTTTAAAAAAGTAAAATAATAATATATGTAACTTATAGTTAATATTGGTCGAATATATCCCAAGTATCTGCTACACTTTTTAGATCCAAAAGTTTATTTTTTTGGATCTAAAAAGTGGTTATATATTGGTTAACATATCACTAAATTAATACTCGAGATGCAACGAAAATATCGTCTATGTGACAAAAATAAACTTTTTGAAATCGCCAGAATGGAAAGTGTTCAATATACGAGAAATTATTTATTGCCGTCGTAATGCCGGGCTGCAATTTTTAATTTATTTAATTTAAAATATATGCTCTCCACCTCGAATTAGTAGTGGCTTGCTCCTGTACAATACATCGTACTTTTCCTTTTAGCAATCGAGTCGTCTATCTAACTCCTTTCCGAGGAAAAATTTCGAATTGAAATAACGTGACTTCCGGTTTGCAACGTAAATTATATTATATAGTTAATCGGGGTTTCCTGTCCGTAAGTTTTCCATATCTGGACAGACGGATGGACTGACATGACAAACGATAGTGAGCATTTATAGGTCAACAATGTTTTCAAATTGCAGCCAAATATATCGGTTAAAGAACCCTCTGACGAAATTATCCACGATTTGAGGAAATAACCACCTTTGTAGGCAAGATAAAAAAAATATCGGCTATACTCCTAGAAACTAAGATATAAATGTATTGATAATGATAAAAACCATGCCGTTATCTTAAGAGTGCGGTTCCTTTAATAGTATAGTTAACACGTCCATTTACGAAATATATATCCGATAATTAAAGAATGATTAATTTTATCAGGAATTTACCAGTGTTTACCCTACGTAGTTTGGACACGAGTTTTCGTTCGGTTTTATCCGACATCTTACCCGATCGAGGAAAACGTCCATCCACACGCTACGCCTAGACCGGGCTTAACGTAAATCGTTTTTGTACGCGTCGGTACTTATATTACGTTACTTATTGTCTTACTGCGTCCGGAGGGAAGAGCACTCACCGCAGGCGGGGTTATCCTTACACTTCCTCCTCTGGACTAACTTCCTGGGACAGGGCTTGCCGCCGTTCTGGGCGTTGAGTTTGACCATCCTCCTCCTCTCCTTTCGGCCGTTGCCGCAGGTCCTGGAGCACGGCGTCCACTCCGACCAGACGGTGACCACGCAGTCGATGACCGGTCGTTCTCGGTCCGGGACGGGGGCGGCCGGACCCGGTTGGAGGGCGGCCAGGGCGCCGATGGGAGCTGCGAGAGAAGTGGGTCATTGGACAAAAGGGTGGTGGGAGACAAGAGAAGTTGCTTACCGCACACCAGGCCCTTCTCCAGGTTGACCGAGGCGTCTTTGATGCTGTAGGCGTAGGCGAAGGCCGAAGGCAGCAGGGGCACCCGCCCGTAATCTGTACCGAGAAACAAAAATTAGCATTGGTCCGGGCGGTGACGAAGAGGGAACCGACCGAATTACGTCAATTCCTTCCGCCGTCACCCGGAATATTTCCGCGCGTCGCGACTCCCGGATGCATCTGGCCTCGGACATAAAATCACAAACCGGATTTAAGATGCGTATAAAAGAATGGAATCTCTTAAAGAATAGAAAGACCCACGGCATCTTTTACGTTGCGTTATAACCAAGTAAAGCGGAGCGTTAAAAGCGTTGAGACGGAGGAAATTCAAATATAAAAGCCAAAGCGGTGGCTTATTTTTCGTTAATGGATACGAATGCTTCCCAACTATAAAAACAGTGGCTTAAATTACCGTTCGACCGACGTTAGTCATTCACCCCACGCTCGGCAAATAATCCTACGCCTGTAAGTGCGCGCTGGGCGCGTGACAATCCTTGGCCCGAGCAATTATTCGGCATTCGACCGATAAGCGATCTGCGGAGCCATCTTTAGATATTTGATGTGTTGGTAAACACCCGTCCTTTTTTATACCCTTACGTAACTCTAAACCGACTCCTGGTTACGGATTTTCTTTATAGGAAAGTAAAGAACTCTCTGTTTACCTGGTACACCCACTACCGATTATTCGTGCATCGTGAAATTATTTTCTCCAGTAAATTTACGAATATTTAATTTTAAAAACTTTTTATATATTATTATAAAATGGCAAAAGCTTAATTTTGAGAGTAGAGACGAGTTTTATTTTTAAAAAGAAATTGTAAATGCCCATAACGAGTAAAATATTCGTTAAGTCCGACTCTACTCCAGATACATCACCACCTCTTCACCCCTCGATCTTTACCACCAAAATTCAGTAGCATCGATCCCCGTAACATATAAAGTTCCCTGCAAAATTTCAGAAGTTTTCGAGAAAAGACGCGGGAGTTAATAAACTTCAAAGTGAGTGAACAGAATCTTTCCCACCACACTAACATCCACACGTATAGAAAAAAACCCGATTTTTTGCACCTCTCGACGTTCTAAGATCCACCAGTCCAAAAATTAAAATCTTGGGGGTCATTTTTGATCCATCGTTACACTTTTCCTCCGTTATATACAGCAGCCAGGAAAATAAAAATGTAAGAATTGTACTGTACAGTACATTAAGACCCCGCTTAACGCGGTGAATACGTTTCTAGATGACAAAGACCTAAACGAAACAGCGTTAAACGACGTCATTTTAACACAGTAAATAGGGAAAGGTAACACGCGACCAAAAATAAACAGATTTTACTTTAAGTTATTTTTATATTAAAATCCATAATACATGTTAAATAACACATAAACATATGCACACAGAAACTTAAACATTTTTTGTAATGAAATCCTGGCTGTTCTGAAATTCTTTTTTTTTTTTTGCGATAAAGTTGCGAAGTTTCAATTGTCGCTTTTTTATTTCCTTAAGCAAATGTCGGTAGCAGAAGATCGCATCCAAAACGTCTCGTTTTGCATTTGCACTCCTTTCAAAATCTGGATCATTCGCTACAATTTGATCAACGATTTCGGTTATCGTTACTAAACTTTGAATCTGAAGAAATCTGTAGAGAAATTCTTTGGGTTCTTCGTTTTCAGAATCACTATTTTCCAGTTCTATATGAATTACTTGTTCTGCCAGTTCTTGGAGGTCGCCGTTGGTAAGTCTCTCACCAGAAACCTGCAGTAACTCCTATATATCCTGCTCGTCTATATCTCCTAGTCCGTCTGTATCGATTCGGTTCAATTTGGTCAACCTAACGGTACAGCAAGAGGCTCTTCTCGGGGAGAATTCTTGGATACCTTCCGCCATAACTTCTTTCTCGCTGCGTTCATGCATTTATCAGTGATTTCTCGTCGATATTGCCTATTGCATTCATGATGTTATATTTTTTCCAAAATTGCACCAAGCAAACATAGATTTAAGGACTACGCGCTACGACGAATTGACACCGTTTGCTGATTTGGTTCGTGTTCGGGAATAATCGTATTATATACGAATCAATGAAATGCCGCGATAATTTAAATCAGCGTAAATTTTGAGCTTTTTTTAGGCTTTGATCAGACCGCGTTATATCGAGACAGCGTTAAGCTGGGTCTTACTGTACTTATAAATGTAAAATTTAAACTTGTGCACGGTATCTTTGAAAATAGATGGAATCTACATTTTATATGCATCAGCTTACGAAACTTGGGACTCGCGCCCTCATTGCGTTATAACGGAGTAGTAGGTCATTTAAAACCTCTGAACTGATTGTTCAGAGGACTATTTTGGATTATTCGTGTTTTTCGTCCACTGATTAGCACGGATAATCGGTAGTTCGGTGTGGTTACAAAAATCCAAATATCTTGCGTATTCGTAAGCAGTGGCACGAAGATACAGTCAAACCTCGGTTTTCGAACTTAGTGTTCTTAAACACAAACAAATTTTCCCTTAAGAAACAATATAAAATGGATTAATCCGTTTCCGACCCACGAAACAGCTTTTTTTTAACCTTTTGAGGTGTATTTCACGAATAAACGTGCAATATACCTGCAAATGCAATATAATAATATCTATATCTAATGCGTGAATGTTGCGACTCGATCTATGTATAATTCAACTTTTTAAAATTTGAGCCGCGTATAGAAAATCAGAATTCTTGTTTTTATGGTATTTGTACAGAAAATCAGTTTGGATCAGGCACTATCAATAAGAAAAAGTTACTTTTCAAACCGCTATCCCGACAGCCCGTTTCTGTCTATCTAAGATGTTACTCGCTTTTGAAAATATTTCCGCAGGTACAGTACAGTACAATCTGGGGAAAGTTTTTATCGTCTCGAACCACGGTTCCGATCCATTTGAAGATAACGAAGTTGGTCGAGTGTACGATTAATTCGTGGTTCCTCGTGGTAGCGTAGCTCCAAATAATCGAAAGGGCTGTCTCATTTCGGGCCTACGGCCCCTACCGAGATCGAATCACCCAACAGCGGGACGAAGCGTTGAGCTTTATAATCCTTAGGCTCGAGACGGTTTTTCATCAGCTACTGGGTGATTCAAATATAAATATTTGATTCTAGGATCCGGGAGTGGCGAAAGAATGGGAAAGATAGAATAGAGTTCTTTATTGAGAAATAAATCGCTTATTTTTATTATCGAAAAGAATATCTCGCAGACATTGTCGTTGCCCGTTTTGAAGATGCGACGTTTTCTTTTATGCAGTTTATCATCGGAATAATTTCAGAAATGGTCACGCAAGTTTCGCCACTTTGTTCTCCGATCACGTATTTTACGGGATTTACACTCTGTGGAAGAGTTTAGCGCTAATAAACTAGTGTCTCGAATACGGAAACACCTTGTAACTATTTGCGGATTAATTTCGCAGTAGTGTTCGACGTAGAAATGGCAATGGACAGATTGCACGAACTGGAAGACTCGTAGCAAAAACGATCGAACAAATCGCACCAATGATCGGAAGGATTTCCATCTCGAACGTACGGCGTGGCAGAAAATACGACCCATTATGCATAATAGAGAAGACGGATCCCACAATTTAACGGAACGATTTCGCCTAAAAGATTAGTATGTTGCTGTGGCGAAAATTAGTCTCTTTTTATTCTATTCGCGTGATGTAAATGTATGTAAGAAGCAACTCTCACTAAATAATATAACAAACTAAGTTTTATTTGCTATCATTCCGAATTCGAAAATTTAGTGTCTGGCAGATATAAAGACAGGCATAGATTACATAAAACGATACTAATTACTATGACAGAAGATTGCTACATAAATAAGATTTCGGCAGTTAATGTTAGATGAACTTATACTGACGGTAATGCATTATAAGCTTTTACAAGCAGGTAAACGATGGAATTCAATGTCCGGATTCATTGTATCGACGATGGGATCATTGACACGCATCGATTTATTGGTTGTGGGTTTAGGTGTAACATTGTAGTCTGATTTCGAATGAGGAGAAACATTCCTCTGTAGGATTAAGTTGTGGTGAGTACAGTGGTTAGTATTTGTAAGTTATGGACTGCTCCGTCAGTCTTGTAACCGTGATTGATGAAATGTTACTTTATCCATTATTAATTAAATAGAATCCCGGAAATCTGTTCTTCGGATCGTCGCAATGTTTACGTTGAAAGGACAAATAATTCCGAGTTGTACGAGCGTGGAAGACTCGTACAACTCGAAACTATTTGTCCTTGCTCTTACCGGAATTGAAACATGCCGGCGTGGAAGGGCCGCATGTTTCAATTCCGGTGAGAGCTAAAATAGCTACGAGACATATTCTTCCATTTATTCTTGGACGGGTGGTATTCGCATTTATACGTTCGGTCGAATCAGTGGCGCAGCGTGGGTGTCAGCCGCACGGGGCAAAGGAAAATTTCGCTTCTCCCTTATTTAGTTATCTCAATTTAAAAGACTAAAATTCAGTTTCGTCACAGAATAAGTAATGAAAATTTCCGTGCTAGTGTTGCCACCTTTTTAAAATCGCTGACCCAGAGGGCAGGTGAGGTTTGTTCGAACAGAAGTTCCTGACGCATGCGTATGTCATTTTGCAATGCGAAGAATAATGTGCAGTGCATGCCGGTTCTAAATCAGGTACATTTAGGGACTAGGGAGACTTGGATAGGAGTAACGTAAGTAACCTAGATGACATAGCTCTATTGAATATTGGAGATGTGTATGAATACGAATCGTACAAGCAAAAAAAAAAAAACAAGGTCGACAGGTTACGCACGATATTGCCGGGAAAAATTAACAGTCCGGACAGTGAGTCGATTTCCGGACTGTCCGGGTGGTAACACTATTCCGTACTCATTTTAATTGGTCCGAATCGTAGGTGGGACGAAAATATGAAATAAAATGATTCAAATGTTTACAAGATATTATTATTATTTATTGTGAAATTTTGCCGCCCCTTAAAATGTCGCCCGGGGCGGGCCGCTCCGGCCTCCCCCACTACGCTACGCCACTGGGTCGAATACCCATAATG